GTCTCTTGGGCAAATGGTTGTATTCTAAAGCTCTTTCTTCATCTGTTAAATGGGGCAACAACCATTCTTACCTCAGAACTTTGTTTTGAAGTTTAAATGAAAGGTATACAAAGGACCTGACGCAGAGCAAGTTTTCTATAAAGGTGGGTTATTAATATCATGCCTAAGTAACTCCTCAAAACATCATGGGGTATGCCAAATTGGTGGCACAGTCATTAAATTCAGAGCCTCTGTGGGTTGGGATCAGGGAAATGCAGAAGCAATGGAGAAAGATGTTCACAAAGGAAAATGGTTCGCAATAACCACCCTATTGGCAGGTTCAAGATAGAACCTGGTCACCAAACATTCTAACCATGGTCTTTACCACAGCCTTGGTCTTGACTTATTCCAGTCGTAGTCAGAAAGTTTGCTTTCTTGTAAAGGGTGGAGTTAGGCCATCTATTTCCCAAGACTGGACACCTATTCCCAGCAAGTGACCCCTGATGAGCCAGAAGAGCTGCCAGATTGTCCCAGGGAGACTGCAGAATGTCTTCAGTGACCTTACAAGGCATGAGACATTGCACAGCCACGATGATTAGCATCTTTTTTTTCTTTTTTTCCAAGTAAGATAGCCCCAGATGACAGCAACATAGAAGGGAGCAACAGGCTCCTCCATCAAAATTCAACACCTCCATTCTCATTGGAAGTTTGACCCCCTCTGCAGACACAGGATAAAGGATCAAACAGACCCTTCTCAGAGCCACAGCTCAGTGAGAGGACAGGATGAAGAGAGGCAAGGATTGCAGTATACACCGCTCTCTGCAAAGAGTCAGATACATTCTTCTCTGGGTTAGTTCCTTTGTGTAACCTGTTCGTTAAGCATCAGCTGATATGTGGCTAGACCTTTGGAAGATGTGAAAATTAATGAAGAGCCCATTCCTTCAGGTTCCCAGAGAAATGTGCTCACATCCTGTTTTCATCCAACCACCTTGAGTTGTGTCTTTGTTGAACCATTCCTTTCTGAACTGGTCATTCCTTCAAGCTATCTGTTTTATTTTGAGTCCTCAACACACAAAGACCCAATGCATGGCAGACACTTGGCTGGTGTTTGATGAATGAGTAACACTGAGTCTGTATCTTCAGGACTTACAACACTATACCGTAGTTAGTACCGATCCCAAAGGGATGGTGTCCACAGGCAGCAATCACATCAGTTGTTAAAGCAGAGAGTGTGTGAGTTTGAGGAAGCTGAGCAGTTATTCTTGCTGAGGTGCTCCAAGGAGAACATGATGTCCAAGAAAGTCCTTGAAAAGGATTCAGTGAGAAGATGAAAGACTTTCCAGGTTAGGTGCTGAACTTAACCGGATTTGTCAGAGGAAACAAACAGCAAAGACAGCATGATTGTCACTAGCTGAGACCTAACATATTTGGCCACTTACTTTTTTTTTAAGATTTATTTATTTATGCATACAGAACTAGGGTACAGGCCAGAGGTGCAGGGGTGGTGAGAAGATTCACTAGAGACAATGTGGGGAGCAGAACAGGCAGATGGATGAAGTACACTGCTGAGGGGAGCAGCAGGCAAGACAGGAGAGGTCTGCCAAGCCGTGTGGGTCACCTCCTGGACTGGGGATCAAACTCGCACTAAAGCAACTGCAGCTAGCTTGCAGTACTTCATCCTGCAGAACCTGCTGAGTTTGACCTGAGGTTTTTTTAGAATAGTGCCAACCTCAGAAACTAACTGCAGAAAGACGATAAACAATACTACTTTGGATTTTTGGGTAAGCATGCCATTGCTTTTCTTACAAGAATCTTGGTTGTTATAAGGTAAATTTCAAATGATTTAAGATCTGATATGTACTCTTTTCTTTCCTTTTTTTTTTTTTATCTTGGAAAGCAAATGCAAAACTTGAGGAAAATGTAAAGAAACCAAACAATTTCTAGACGGGAAGAAATAGATAGATGCACATAGCATGCATTACATAAATCTAGAGAACAAGAAATGGGAGGGGTATGAAAATAGGGCTGGCATATCAGCAGCTCCTATGTGGAAAGGAAAGGAAAAGAAAGCCCTACGTGGAAAGGAAAGGAAGGCATGAAGAGGGACAAGTATGTACGAAAGCACTATTGCTGGGAGATGCTAGAAGGTGAGTCAGAGTGGGTGGGGGCCTTTTCAGTACTTTGGACATGACTCAGAGGACTGTGTTTCCTTTGCTTGACATTGCCAACCCATCAGCTATAGCACTAATAACTAATAACAATATCTATTGCCTGGGTGCTTAACATGAGCAAACCACTGTTTTAAGCATTGTCGATGAATTACTCCCTTAATCCTTGCAAATACCCTGGGTGAGAGCCCTCCATTTTACAGAAGAGGTAGTTGGGATGCAGAAAGATTAAGAAAACTTCTCAAAGTCAAGAGTTCAAAGTGACAGAGGACTCTATCTCCAGAGCCCACTTTTGATCTCCCAAGAAGGTTCCTTTCCCAGGCCTCCCTCAGCACTATGAAGCTAGACACAGCCGATCAGTGTGTGTTTGATCCCCGACCAGGGAGGAGACCCGCACAGGGCAGCAGAACTTTCCTGTCTCACCTGCCGCTCCCCTCAGCAGTGTTTTTCAGTCAATCTACCTGTTTTACTCCCCGCTCTGTCTCTGGTGAATCCTCTCACTGCCCCTGCATCTCTGGCCTGTACCCCAGTTCTGTATGCACAAATAAACCTTAGGGAAAAAAGATCTCCCAAATTCAGGTTCACTTCAGGCAGACTTCTTGCTCCCAACCATGGCCACCACCCCAATGCTCTGTCCTAATCCTCACTCCATTTTATGTCCACACTGGGTCATACTCACCACATTTACCCCTCTGGACTGGAGAGCAGTGTGATTGCCATGTCCCGTCTCAAAGACATGTGTTCTGTCTTAGAAGCACCTTATACACTCTCTAACTCCATCAGCAGCGAGAAGGTCACATCTTTGTCATTTGTCCCCAAAGCCCTTGGCTGTATGTCATCTGCTCACATAGCCTTTTGAGCACCTCACCATGGGGGTGACCCAGGCCAGGGTAGCCTGCCTGCAGAACCTCTGGTGAGCACTTCAGCAACATAACGCTTAGTCTGGTTCATCCTTCATGCAGCAGCTAATTTAGCGTCTACCTAAAACTCCCTCACTTAGAGTGCAGAAGGACATTTATGGCAACAGTGAGTAGGTCAGCTGCTGGCCAGCTTCATCCCCTCCCTCCTCACTGACCTCATACCCCACACCCAATGCACAATCTTCCCATCAACAGCCAGAGAGGAGGAGTTGAGTGAGGCTATTTAAGTCTCCACTCCCAATTTATTCTCAACAGAGATCACTCAGCCACCTCTGAAAAACCTTATTTTTTGTTCAAGTTGTCATCATGAATTGCCAATATCTATTTCTCCTTTTTTTTCTCTTCAAATTTTAAGACAAAAGAAAAACTTCTATCACTTCATTTTTTCCTAGCAAATCATTTCATAAGAAGCTTTGATCAGAGTTTCCATGACATTTTTAAGAATGAAGTCATGTGTTGTCCAGATTTGGGGGAGGGGAAAGTGGGAGGGTAGTTAAGGGAAAATAGATGAAATAAGATTGATTATGAGCTAATCGTGTTGGGATGATGATGTTCAGTGATGGTACCAGAGGCTTATCACTCCTTTCTGCTTAAACTTTGAGAATTTGGTGGCAATAAGTTCGAGATCTAGCAATAACATCTGATGTTTCTTTCAGTATTTCATCTCATCACATAATCTATGATCTATCAGGGAGCAATGGGACTTAACTGACCATGTGTTCCTATTTCTACAAAACCAGAGTTGGAATTCAAGTTTGGGAGGTGGATGCCCTCCCCACCTGACAATCCAGAAAAGCCTCAGGCTCATGGTGCTCCAGGCCTGCCATGAGCAATGACGTTGTGAAAGCCACTGCACTGGGTCTAGACACAGAGTTGGAGTGTCAAGTCTCCTACTTTTCTGAGTCAGCGAAATGTTGACGTCAACAATGAAGTCTGCAAGGCATTTCAGAGGAGCCGAGTCCTGGAGGTGACCTGCCAAGTGCAGATGCCAAAAATAACAGCCTGCCACAGGGTGCTGAGATGGGATGTCGAGAAAATGGGGTCAGAGGAATTCTCTCTTGAGTCTTTAAGTGTCCGCCTTCAAACAGAAGAGTCCAGAGGGATCTCTGAAGGCTTAGTTTTGAAGGAATTTCAGGCCACTAAGGATACAAAGCCATATTCATTCTATAGCTTCCTGTGATCCAGATCTGGTCACTCATTCACAAATCTGCCAGGATGACTCTCAGGAATGATGCTGTTGACCTTGGGACAGCCTTGAATTTGGATTAAGATTGTTCGGCTCTGAGAAAAAAGTGGCTCCAACCAGGAGCCCCCCGGCCCATCCCATCGCCTGCCCTTTGAAAGCCTCTACAGTCTCAGGAGCCGTGGGGCCTTCGACACCCACTTCACCTGGCTACAGCCCTCTAGGAGTAACATGACTCTTTGGTTTCCCTTTGGCTTTTGAGAGGGCATCAGATGGGACATCACTTCTGCAGCAACACCCACTTGCAGAGCAGGGTATAACCATGGCATAAAGCACTGTGATCTTGGAAACAACCTCCAGAAATGCAAAAAACACATTCCTATTGCTTACAAGCCCCCCAAGTACACTAAGACATTTGGTCACCCAACCGTATCTGGAGGGTCAGACCATTTCATCTGCCACAGCATTCCCAGGCACAGTCAGTACTCAGGAAACAGGAATCAGCATGCAGGGACTTTTTTGTGTACATCACATGCCCAGTGGAAAGATCCAACTCCACAAGGCTGTTCAATGATGCTTATGTTTACTTCTTTGCAACACCTGTGTTACTGCAACCCAATATTCTCTGCTCTCCACATAACCCTCCAATAGACATATCCTCCAAACTACTCCTAACTCTTCCTTCCCACCCGCAATGTTTCCCTGAAGGAGTGAGATGGCCCTGAACAGGTACTGTTCCCAACACAGTCGTCATGCCAGGGTCTTCAATACCCACTTCACCTTCAGCAGCAGGATGGCCTGCTCTTCACCATTTTCATGTCCAGACTGCGCTCTAGGAAGAAGGGCGTGAGACAACAGTCACACCCACTCAGCGTTCCCTTACAAGTCATTTGTGTTGTATGCAAAATGTGCATAAAAGCAAGTGTGTTTGTCCATGTAAATACTGGCTACTATAACCAACCCCCTAAGTTGCAGTAAATGCAATAAAGCACCTATCTCACGCCTACAAAACTGGTCTGGTTGTTTCTAATTTTGTGGTTCCCTTGGGTGACATTGGTCAAAGCTCGAGATCCACTTTTCTTACAAGCCGTGGCTGTGCCCAGTCCTACAGCCTTGGTCCTCCATGACACTTTCTGCACTAGGGGAGTCTGCAGGTAAAGTGAGAAGACAGGGAGGGTTGCTCAGCTTGTTTGGAGTCAGTCCAGAAGCGGTACTCGTCACTTTAACCCACAGTTAATGGCTTCCAGCTAGAAACAGGGAAGGTGGGGCAAGAAACATATAAAATGAAATGTTTTGAAAAGCACGGCACATAGCCTCCGCCACCCCAGCCTGACGAGTGGTGTGTTTCACAGGGCAACATGAAGGTATTTTAACAGGGTCCTTGGTGAGTGCCAAGACAAGTTTCCTTTCTTTGCCTTTGGTAATGGCTGGGGTTGGAAGCCTTCGGGAATGATTTCTGTATGTAAATGAGCTTCGGTCTTTTCTGATGGGACTTTTTTGAGGCACTAGCCAGTTATCAGAGGTCCAGGGGAGTCCAAGAGGTCACTCTGATTTACCAGAACATTTAGAAGGCTCTGCACTAAGCACTCTGATGACTGTGTGCCCCTATGCCTTCTTCCCCTACCAGCTTCTCACGGCTCGGTACCCCAAGGAGAAAGAGGAAGAGAAGAACATAGAAGTCAAGGCCGTGAGAATCTACTCTTTGTTTGGAATGATGGTCTTTCTTTATCACTTATTGTTTGGAAGATGAGGAGGCACAGGCAATCTCAAGTCTAAGAAAAGAAACAGAACATGCCACCTGTGATTGTGAGAATCCATGTGGCAAGAGATCAGTTTCCCAGAGACATTCTGCCAGTGGGGAGGAGGAAGTAGAGTCAAAACAGGGGTGGGAAGAGCACAAGGGACTATAGTGATGGTGCATGGGGGAATTGGTGGTGGGAATTTCACAGGAACTACACCTGAGATGAGAAAGCATACATTGTATACAAATGAAGAATGCGGCCCTCCCTGGTGATGCAATGGGTTGAAGCGCCACACTACAAAGCTAGCCGCAGCCACTTCAGCACCAGTTCCATCGCTGGCCAGGGGTGTGACCCACATGGCACAGCAGACTTCTCCTGTCTCTCCTCAGCAGTCTATTTCAGTAGATTCACCTGTTCTCCCCCCCACTCTGACTCTGGTGAATCTTCTCCCCGCTCCCACACCTCTGGTCTGTACCACATTTCTGATGCATAATAAATAAATCTTTTTTAAAAATTAAGAATGATATATAAAACGATATATAAAATGTCAATATATCAAAAAACAGAGAGAGAATGGTGTCCCTTGGTGGCCTTCCCTTTCACGTCTCCAGAAACATCACAAATGGAAACACATATCCAGACCAAATGGTCCAGGATGCTCACTCATGCAGAAGTTGGGGATATGCAGGCCACTTGTCACTGTGCTTTAGGGCCCCATCTCATGTTGACTCACTTCGATGGTCATGGTTTCTGGCCCAAGGCCAGCTATTTTAGAAGATAAGTTTCCAGAACTGTGTATGTGGTAGGCCCTCAGCCTCCAGGCCTTCAAACGCCCCTAAGCCTTTCTTTGTCCTCTTCTCCCATCTCTACACTCTTTCTTTTTAAGCCACATATTTCAAATTTTAAACCAAAGCTCTCTCTTTACCTTTACTGTGTTGACTGGTCATCCCCATGGTAACCCTCCACACTCCCCATGCCCTGACCAAATTCCTCTGAGGAATGGCTCACAGGCAGAAGCTTGTCCCTGTCTTCCTCTTTCATCAAAGTGGGGATGAGTTCAACCTCCCATCACCGTGGCAGTGAGTCCTCCTTTATTTGTTTCTTTGTAGCTAGGCAGCATTGAGCTTTAGGGAGGACAAGGAAGTCCTTAGGACAGAAAATTTCCTGGGGGCAGGAAATAGCCTTTACCAAAGATAAAATAGGACAGGGGTTGGAGGGTGCTCTTAGAATCCCAAGCAGCAATATCTTGTGATTGCAAGATCACAAACTATCTTTTAAAAATAGAAAAAGAAGTAAACTGCTGTGTACTCCCTAGATCAAAACCCACCAACACTCAAAATCACAAACTGCTTTGGTCCATGACATACCTTAAAATAAAACTAACCTTTAGCTTCCAGAAGACCAGTTTGAATGGATGTTATCTCACAAGCCTGGATTTGTTTCAAGGGAAACAAACATATTGCATACATTTGACCTATGGATACATTATCAAGATATTTGTAACCAAAAAATAGTTTAAAGATATATTGATTTAAACATATCTTGTTAGAGTTAGTGACAAGTATTTTGTTGAGCATAAGGGAGAATATTACCTTGTTCAACTCTTGTATTCCTCAAGTAAGTTTTAAAAGAATCGTTTTATAAGCTAATTCCATTTTCCCTCTCTCTATATAAAGGGAATAACACTCCGTTTCCAATACATGTGTATGTTTTGCTTTGTTTTCTGATATGAAATCTATCACATGCACTTTATTAATATATGGCCATGTAATTAACCTGTCTAGAGGAACCACACCTCTTGAAAGATAAAGCCATGCCTAATGTCACTCATCAGGTATAATAAGGCTAAGTAGTTCAGCTCTACAATAATCAGAGGAACATTCTAAACCTTGAGAGTGGAGAACTCACAGATGTGAACAGATCTGAAAATTCATCAACGTTTAATATATGTCCTTAAAAAAGGAAAAGGAGATTAAAATAATCCAAGGGAGTGACACAGATGAATGAACTTCAGAGGAATATCAAAATAGTTCTCAAATTGTGGAGAAAGGGTGGAAGGGAGAACAGAGAACCAGGTGACAGCTCAGCTGGAATGTTGCTATAATCTAAGGTTTAGAGATACATAACTAAGTCCTTAGCAAACAAACACAACTAAGTCCTGAGCAAACAAACACTGCTTATCGCAGACTTTGTAATTTGGTTTTATGATTTTTTTTTTTTACTTCTCTCCATTTATTCTCCTGAATTCTCACTTGATTTTAAACAAAATACTGTTGCTTATTGTTATTCGTGGTACTTATGTTCTTTAAAGCTGCCAAGACTACTGACTTAGCAGGTAATAAAACCATTCCTCCTGAGGGAAATCCAAGGTTAGGTTCCTCCGAGCCCTATCACATGTCCATCAACTGATCCACATATAACCTTGTTTTGTAAGTGTCTGTCTAAAAGTCTCTCATTTAAAACATATTAATTCATTTATATTGAACTCATTCCAACAGCAGTATAATTTATGTCTGAATGTTAATCTAATATCTATATTTTCTCTAAGGCATAGCTCATCCTTCTAATATTTAGGAACACTAATCAGCTCTTCACCACTGCACTGAGTGGCCATTTTAAACATGAAATCACCAACAAAAAGCATAAGCATGAGAAAGTTCTGGCATCAAATAAGCCTCACAAAAGAGCACTCATTTACAGCATGAATCAGGAAATAAGAAAGCAAAGGGTTGCCTTCCATCTCAGCAAGGAATGTGGCTGTTGGCAGAAAATTCAGATTTTCTGCAACTCTACATATTCGTGAATGAAACTGAAATCTCTCTGTGTATTGATTAAAAGATTACAAATAAATTTTAGCAGGTAGGTAAATGCACAAATACAGAATCTGTGCATAAAGAAGATCCATTGTATTGTGAGTCTCCGCTTTGCTTAGCTGTGGTGAGTAGAACTAAGCTATTGCCTGTTCTAAAAGTTACCAAACGTATTTCCATACTAGAATCTTCTGTGGAGTTTTCAAAACCACACTCCAAGCCAAATAAGAATCTCTC